CAACCCACCAGAGAGGAGGCCAGAGAAGGGCAGGGGGACAGAGAAAGTTGTCCCCTGGGGTCTTTTGTTATGCTATGAGCTGATTGAGGGTTCTGAGATTTGCAATCCTGGCCAAATCTCCTTCATATCATTGCTCCCTATGCATAAAGGCCAGAATTAGGGATGGAAAGGATGAACTGGGAGAAAGATATTTTAAAAAAATATAGGATCCTTGGTAATACAATAGTACCTACTGCCTAGAGATTCATCTTTTTTTTTAATTTAAAAAAAATTTTTTTTTAATTTTTAGCTGAGCCATCCTGCTACCTGTTGGCAGCTCAGTGGCTGCTCAGCTCAGGCTGGACTCGAACCGCTGTTGCTCAGAGCTCAAACTCTTGAGCGAGCTCTTAACCAACTGAGCCACTCGGCCGGCCTTTAGAGATTCATCTTAACTAGAGTTTGAAAATAATCCAAAGAGGAAAAACTTTCACTAGGGTCATTATCAGCACTATCAGGAACAGGAATAGAATTGACCTTAGACACAGAGGGTGAAGTTAGGACCAGTCCAGGAACTATGGGTAAGCCAAAATCACAAGGTAAAGGCCAGACTGAGATCTGGGCTGGGTAGAGTGCTCCTTTGACTCCAAGGAAGGAGCCAGAGAGTTCATTGTTTATGGATGGGGTCAGGGAGTGGTTTTGGATCAGAACCAGATCTGTAGCCAAAACCCAGGTGCCTGCCTATAGTTTCCACCTACACACCCACTTGAGCCAGCCAGGTGCAGCCACTTCCCTACCGACACCTTCAAGACCTAGGCTGGCTGGGCCCAGGGTTCAGTCCCACTCCAGTTGGAAAGATGTAAGGAGCTCTCTGCCTAGGGCAAACATTTGGCTCTGAATCAGTCTCCTTGCTATTTTCCCTTGTCTATCACGCCTGAGCAGCTCTTTGACCCCTTGCTGCTCATACTCTGACCCCTGCCTGGTGTTAGAGTTCCCCCAACCCAACCCAAGCCCTAACATGCTTAGTCGTGGCATTTCTAGGTCCAGTCTCTTGTACCTTCCTGCGATCCTTCAATTCCATCCTAGCACTTCCATCAGGAAACATGGCCAGTCCCCAGGGCTTTCACTCAGGATAAGGGGGAAAGGGTACCAAAGGTGAAAGAGAACGGGATGAAGGCTGGGACTCAGGTAATGTTAGAAATTCTCCTTTCTTTGTTCTCCAGTAGTGTCACTAACTGGTTAATCCAAAATCCGAGAAACCAAAGAGGTGGCAGGCCTATCAGGAGGATGCATTTTGTCACTCTTGTCCCCTGAGCAAAGAATAAGGGACAATCACAAAGTCTCTATAATGTTCTGAGAGCTCGGATCACAAAAGCTTACCTACCCAGATCAAGTAAGTTCTGATGAAAGAGTTATAACTTATTTAAGTAAAGTCTATTCTCTCTCTCTCTCTCTCTCTCTCTACTATGGGGAATAAGTGCTAAATCCGGGCAAGGGTTAACCATTGCAGGAGATTCTATCGAGCTTGGGTTTACTTTTTAAAGAAGAAGCTGGAGGGCATGTCTTAACTGTCATGTTGCATTGTGAATTTAGAGTTTGGGTGTGGAAGCTCTGCTTACCTTCTTTATAATCTACACAGGTGTGCAGAGGACTTCAAAGCTAGTTCTAGAAGGAGGTTATTGAGAATTACCTCTGGGGGGAAAAAAAGAAAGAAAGCAATCCCACAGAACAGATGCTGAGAGAAGTGCACTAAACCCTCCTTGAGCAATTGCCTTTAACTTAATTTTAAAATTCCAAAATCTTTCTCTTGTGTTCTTGCTAAAGAATGGGGACTTTCCCATTCCAATGAATGATTTCAGATTTGATAACCTATATTCCTTTCTGAAAGTGATTCTAATAGGAAGTTCACCCAGGGAAACTTTGGTAGCTTTGTCTTCCAGCATAGCCCTCTATATGTTCTCAGACACTACTTCCTGCTATTGTAGTAACTGTCAACTATAATTTCATAATGGAGAACATAAAATGTAGTCACTTTAACATTTGTTTCTCATCTATAAAAGCAATTAAATTAATGAGCATAGTATCCTTTTTTTTATGAGATGCTGCTGCCTATTTGACTAATGTTCAATAGGGTATATACACTTCGAGTTATATTTTTCAACAGTGACATTGGGGCTTGATTGTCATTACCATATGGGAAAAAAAAATCCCTCTTTCTAAATGTCAATATTTGAGTCCTACTAAAAGCTGAAGGGGGATTTATGCATTTAGCCTAAAGCATATTTTACTTCTTGGTATTTTCAGTGATTTGTGGCCAATGAATCATAAAAATGAAATCTTAAAACCCTAAGAAACCACCAGAAACCAAGCTAGACATTAGCATATTTTACAGTAATTATTCCCACCCCACTCCAAAATGAAAATGTTTGTTTTCCCCAATTTGTTTGCTTTTTCATTTATTGACATTTTGGGAATTTCCAGATTAAATTGCCTGTTCTACTGAGGGTAGGATAACTGAAAATGGAGTGTGGAAAGTCCTTTTTAGTTCAGTCTATCTCGCTTTTCCTCAGAAAATGGGAAAGATAATATTTTTTCTCATTTCATATTAGTTCCTCACTTTTTATTTTTAGGAAAGATGATTTCTACGAGATTGTTTCATAACTGTAATATACAGGATTTAAAACTTTTAACTTAACTTTCTGGTTAAAATATCTACCAAGTATAGTCATTCATTTTCCATGCAATGACAGTAATTCAATTTATTTAGCCATTTATCATATTACCTTCTAGCTTGCCACAGAGCCAAATTATAGACACCCTATTTATTATCTTTCCCCTTTCCTCTCACAACTTTTGTTTATTCTTACTAGTTATTCCTAATTCCTTTTAAATTTTGACTCTCAGTTTTTTATAGTTTCTCTTGGAAGTGACTCGTAGTTTTCTTACTGAGTCCATTCTTCCTCGTTCTTAATAACAGAACCCACTTCCAGTTTTAGGAAAGTATAGTGTACCACTCTCTTCCCCTCACCCCCAAAGTAGAATTTACATTTCCCAGTCTTCCTTGCAGCTGGTGACCATGTGACTAAATTCTCACAAATGGAATGGAACAGAAGTGATGAGCACCATTTGTGTTCACTTCCGTATTAAAACATTGCTCACTCTCCACTTCCTCTCCACCTTCTTCTCTGTAGACTGGAACTTGGATGTGGCATAGGTAAGCTAGCTGTGACCATACAGATGTGGGCAACATCCTAGGGGACAGAAAGAGCTTTATAGTAAAAGAAATCTCAGGACAAACTACACAACTCCCCTGAGCCACCTCCCTATCTTTAGACTGTTCCATGAGAGAAAAATAGATCTCTCTCTTTTTTGAACAATTATATTTTCAAGTCTTTTTGTTACAGCAGCATAACAGATACCCTAGCCCTAATACATTTCTTAAACAAAAGAGAGGAAGTTACCACTGTATTCTGTGCTACTCAGCCCTTACTTGGAGTGTGCTATTCCTATCTGTGGATCACATTTTAGGAGACATAAAGCAGATGAGAGCAACAAGAGTGCTGAGAGATTCAAAGCTGAAGAAACTGGAAGAGCAGTCTCAAAGTAGGAGTGTTATTTTCAAATGAGCCGGCATGTGGAAGAATGATTGACCTCATTCTGTGCGGTTTTAGTAGACAGAAGTAGGACTCAGGGTGAAAACAGATTTTGCTTAAGACAAGGAGCATTCCTGGATGTCAACTCAGCATAGAAATAGAAAAGGCCACTATGGAAGCCTTGAGGTTCCTGCCCATGGAGCTGGCTTAACAGAGCCTGGACAACCGTTTGGCTGGTTTTCATAATGACTATGTGTCATGCGTGTATATTACAGAAATTGTCTCAAGTTCTTAGAACAACACTAAACATTATATATTTTTATCTCCATTGGATAGAAAGATAATCTAAGTCTCAGGCAAGTTATAACTTGCCAAAGGTTACAGAGCTAGTTAGTAGGAGTCTATGTTCTTTCTACCAAACATCATTAAAGTTGATTTACAAAAGGACTTAATATGTTTTTCCAAATCTGGATTTCCATGAGTGTCCTGGAAAACTGTCTTTCCCAAATCTTTGCTTCAATTTGGAGGCATCAGAGCTAGAGCCATCTCCTAAAGGTTGGTGTGCCTAATCTAAGTTTTAACCCAAGAGCAAACTGATTTTGAGCCTTCCTTTTTGTGTCAGAAATTGCGAGCTGATCACCAATCTATTTTCTCTTCTTTCTTGACAAACAACGAGAATACAATTTCCAGCTTCCCTTGCAGTGAAGGCGAGCAAAAATGATGTGGGTCACTCCCAGTTCTGGCCCATAGAAACCTCCCATATACTTGCTGCTGCTGCTGAATACTGGTACATGGAGTGTGAGCTTGAAAGTTGACTACTGAAGATGGCAGAACTTGTCCTTCAACCTTGGTCTTGGACAGAGCCCCCTGACAACCCAAAACTGCTTTGGATTATGTAAGTGAGGGAGGCATAAACTCTTACTGCATTTAAGCTGTTTGATATTTTAGAGTCTATTGGTAGCAACAATTAGCCTACCCTCTTTAATACTCTTGATTCTCAGCCTCTAAATGTCAAGAATTATCTGACTTGATCACAGGACTATGCGCAGTTGCTGTATTTGTCAACTCTACTAGGCTGAACTGTTTGAAACTGCAGATATTTGACCCTTTTTGACCAACAAAAGCTGAACCTTAATAAAATTCAACCTAAAATTACAGGAGATCTTCTGATTCGTCCCACCTCTCGCTCTTTTGATCCCCCCATAACCCTGTCCTATTGATAAAGAGGGATCAATTTTATACAACAATGACAGAGAAGTTTCAAATACAGACTCTCCTGGATAAAAGTTTGCCAAAAATTTGTCAAATAGTGGCGTATGGTACATACAGTCCATTGATATATGCTGTTGGATTCTTCATTCTTTTTCTTTTTTCTTTTGTTTACTTTAATATCAGAAAATGTCTCATGAAAGAAAATCTAGATTTCCAGATTATTTTACAAATTGAAAGGTTTGGCAACACTCATATCACAATCAGTGGGCCCTCAGGGTATGCTCTTTAGACAGGTCATAACTTCTCTATGTCTCCTCAGACCCAACACCCCCTTTTATCACTAATGCTAACATGCATGTCCAATGCCACTACCTTTGTGATGTGGATTTTTTTCTGCCTGGCCCCACAGGCCATTCGCGCTTGCACTCCTTCTTAACACAGAAGTAAAGTCAATGATGAAGAATGATTGCCTTAAGAGCTGCTTTGGAAGGCGTTAGAATGCCTTCAGAAGACAGTGAATACTTCATGGGCATTGGCAGGAAGAGTGAGGAAAAGTCTTCCTATGATTATTGGGTGCTGGTCCTCCTGGTGGGGCACGAATATCAGAGCTTATTCTCTTCAGTCTCCAACTTCTTTCCTGTAACACAAAATGTAAGACATAAAGTGAAGCTTTGTAAGCGAGAGTAGAATTTTGTTCTTCTGTTTTTAATGGAAAGCCCAAAAATGATGGGTTTGACTTCAACAGATTGCTAAACCATTTCTGCTCTCTAAAGATGCACTGTATTAAGCTGCTTCATAAAATATGGAGGTCTCCATTCAGGGACCCCGCCAGCATAGACTAAATGAACATTTGACAGGGATATACTTGTATCAGATGGAGTGTTGGGCCAAATCAGTGTTTTGGTTTAACTATAAAACTCTTTCTACAAATAATTGAAATCTTAAGTGGAAGACAAATATTTAGAGAATACAAT